GCTGTAACCCTCCACGCAAGTTGCTAGTGGCATCCACCAGTGGACCTCTAGCGGTCCACCAGTGGTAACATTGCCGAGACTAGCGGCCCGATAGAGGGTCACCAGCGAGAAACGCTAGTGGCATGCGACTCAGTGGCAGATTTGTGGCGTGCGCGTCGGGAAGTTCCATTTTAATAGTTTCTTTTCTCGCACTTCTCGTCTGTGGAACTCTGATTGAGTTTCTTATTGTCACCTACGATCTTCAAAAATGTAAATGAAATGCCAATCGTCATCTTCTGTCTTCCTGATTCTGTTCTTTTATTGTCCTTTCTCTTTACTAAAGTGTTCTCTTTCTCGTTCAGTCCCAGTAAACCCTAGCGCCATAGTGACATTATCACCTTGTTTGGGATGAAATGATTAAAAGCAAATGTCCCCCCATGCTTATGTAAGCTCAATCCAGGTGGGTTCACCGTAAAGTGAGGTCGTAATGATGCATTATCGCCTCGAAGGCAGATGTAAATCACTCTCATGCATAATATTACATTTTATTCAAAACTAGACGTCATCAGTTACTGTCGATCTTTTGTATGTTGTAAGAGAGAGGCTACCCTCTGGGGTGGGTGCTTATATATCTATCTCTCTGAATACAGTCTGCTCTTATTCTCTCTCTTTCTCTCACTCACGCACACGTATCTTCTTAAACGACCGAATTGAAAATGTGCATGGAGAGTAAATAAGTATGCACGGCTAAAATAAATTAATTACTAAAAGAATAAATCGATGTAAATAAGATCCTAGTGATTACAAAACAGAAAAGAAATTATACTCACGACCCACCCACAAAGAAAGAAGAAAGTTCTCTTTCTGTCTGCACAAAATCAGTCGATGACGCTTGATATAACAATTTCTAAAAACGTAAATGTTTAACCGGCCGAGATGTACCCTAAAAGCTTCGTCAGAATATATTAAAGTACAGCCCGGGTTGTTCACCAAATGTAGTCCAATCATTGACTCACGAACCGACTAAGTCAAGCGAATACTGTAGCATTTTTTTTCAGTTTCACAGTTTATGATTATTTTTGTAAGTTTTTTTTTCCAACGAATCTTTTCGAATCTCTCTACTCTGAGGCTCGTGGAATCACATCCACTTTTCAGAAGACGTAATGGCGAATAAGATTTGAACTTGATTCACCATCAACTCTCTTGAAGAGTTGATGTGATTCCATGAAAACTCATTTTTGAGATATTCATAAAATATGTGATAAATTCATTTTATTTATGATTAATAATCATATATATAATTATTACATATATATATATATATATATATATATATATATATATATATATATATATATAATTCCAAAGATTGATTGTCTTGATGAGATCACAGGATTTTTTTAATGTGCACTCCGACAGGACTCGAACCGGCGTCCCCTGAACAGGGGAAACTTTCGTTAAACCTTCTTTTGACCTCTCTGCCAAGAAGTACGTCGATGATCAAGCGAAGTTGAATAGTGCCTTTAAAATCAAATCTTTCCTAGACTCTCAAGAATGCATGGCAGTTCACAAATAACAAATAAAAGGAAGCTGTGGCGAGCCTTGACCAGCTACATCCTGAACAGTATTTAAAATTAAAGCCGATAATATTCAAAATCATTGTCATTCGTTTGCGAAGAATCGGCCATGTCTAAAATTGAATAAAGTGTTACAGTACTAAATAGTTATAACTTGTCTTTTTATGGTCACTTAATTACGCCCTGTTGTCTCAATATTTATTAAGAACTACAAAGGATAGGAAATTGTGGAGGCCCATGATCGCCTACGTCTTGAAGGGAGATGGCACATAGAAGAAGATCCCATAAAATCATAAAGGATAAATACGATATCTGTCTATATTTTTGAGATCATGTAAATATTTACATTACTTATATGGTTCGGAATGTTAAAGAATCAGCGCATATGCTAAGCTAGAAAAATCCACTAAGCAGGCCAAGCATAGAAATAAGTACAATATTTGTACATGTAATAAGGAGAGTTATAGAAAAATAACAATAACAACAAAATGAGTTGAAAAATTATAGAGAAATAATGTAATATGATCTCTAATAAAAAAATGGTTGCTATGACATTAGTTTTATAAGTCTCCAAAATCCATTCACAAGTGTTCCCAAGGAAATATGGTGCAGTGAAAAAAAGTGCTCGTTGATTGATCCAAAAAGTCACTTGACTCAAAGAGTTATGAGAACAAAAACTTGTAGTGTTCTTTATGTGCCGTGTCCCTTCAGGACGTAAGCGATCATGGCCCTCCACATCTTCATGCCTCTTGTTATCTCTCCTAAACCTTGTTCCGCTGTTCTTTCACCTCAAGCTCATTCTTCTTCTATGTACTTCAGGACGTAGGCGATCATGGCTCTCCACAATTTCCTGTCTTTTGTAGCTCTTAATAAATTTTGTCTTTTTGTTATTTCTCCTAAACCTTGTTCCGCCATTTTCTTACCTCATTCTTCTTCTATGTGCTGTCTCCCTTCAGGACGTCGGCGATCATGGCTCTCCACAATTTCCTGTCCTTTGTAGCTCTTAATAATGTTTGTTTTTTGTTATTTCTCCTAAACTCTGTTCTTCCATCCATTTATTCATGCTCATTCTTCTTCTATGTGCTGTGTCCCTTCATGACGTAGGTGATCATGGCTCTCCACAATTTCCTGTCCTTTGTAGCTCTTAATAAATTTTGTCTTTTTGTTATTTCTCCTAAACCTTTTTCTGCCATCCATTTACTCAAACTCATTCTTCTATGTGTCACATCCCTTTAGGATGTAAGCGATCATGGCTCTCCACAATTTCCTGTCCATTGTAGCTCTTAATAGTTTTTTTTTCTTCCTAAACCCTGTTCTGCCAAAATTCATCATGTTGTTACGCGAAGCTTTCCTCTCACCTTCAAACTGTCTTGTGAGTATCAGTTTTTCCAAGCCCTATTTCCTCATCACGTGCACCAGAAATGTGAAATGCCTCTTTCTTATCTTAAGTATAAGTTTCCTTTTTTTGTTTCCATTTTCTCCAAAATCTTATCGTTGCACACATGTTTGGTCCATGGTATCCTCAGCATCTTTCTGTAGAACCACATTTCTGTTGCTTCAAATCTCTTCATCGGCTTGGAGGAGATTGTCCAGCATTCACTAGAGTTATCAAGATGAATTAACTAAAACTGAGATATCCAAAGGAATTAAAACAATCTACCCTCTGTGGATTAAATAAACGGTTTGAAATCTGACAAATATCCCCTGAAGAAGGTCGAAGCGTCGAGAAACTTCGAGAGTGTGACAACAGTCCGAACATTGTAAAAAGCGAATAAATAAGATTCCAGTCGAACATGTCTGAATGTGATAGACTGCAGCAATGTTGAATAGTCATTGCCTTTCTATGTACTTTACTTCCCGCCAACAGACTTAACTAACGATATCGCCTTAATCTGATAAAGGCTCAACACGCTTCATAACCCTCGTCGCAGGTTTGCGAAAAGCTGACGAAGTTTGACTCAAATTGATCGCTTCAGAGTTAAAGTCAGAGGCTTTCTATTTTGTTTGTAATCTTCGTACCAACATAATGACGTACTTAGTGTCGCTATACGTGAATATCATAAAGACTAAACATGTTTCAAAAGTGCTGCAGGCTTTGACGCAATGCCAGTGTCATTTACGAATTAGTTCCTCCTCATCATTCTCACGTCTTCTGATGTAATCATTATTTTTCCTTTCTGTTATTTCCATTTCTTTGACGATTCGACTTAAACCTTTGTAATTCTAGTTATTTAAGTTTTCCTTTTAAAACTCCCCAAATCCGAACAGTGCATAATCTGATCCTCCTGCAATTAGACTTCCTCGAATTTGAACTCATCTTCAAATCCGAACTTTTGTATTGATATAAATATTAAGCCTTTTTACTTCCTTTACAGATTATAATTGTTTTTGAATGAGATATTTTTGCCCCTAATAATATCACTAAGTTAAAAAAGGAAGAGAATTATCTTGACTTTTGTGCAAAAATCAATAAAGTAGATGGATAACATTTTTAGTGGTTATTGTATATGTATAATTCGTTTTTTGCTTTTTAAGGTAGATATGAAATAGGTATATGAATTTAATCAATGAAAGAAGAGAGATATAGGTTTGATTTTGTTTTTATTTTCAGTGAAAAGGAGAGTTATTTTGATATTTTAAATTTTCTTCAGTTTATAATACAGTAGAACTCCCCAAATCTGAACATAGCATAATCTAAACTTCTTCGAATTTGACACCTTCAAATCTGAACTTTTGTATTGGTTTAAATATGAAGAATTTTCTTCCTCAAATCAGAATAGTAACCTCAATATCAAACATTTTGGATGTTCAGTTTAGAGGAGTTTTATTGTATATCTTGATTTTTGTCTTCCTTTACAGATTGAAATTGTTTTACAATATTTCATAAATCTTTAAACATTTTATAAAGTATTTTAGTTTTTCACAAATGATAATATTTGTTTCGCACCAATTTTTTCATTACTATTGGTTGTCAATTATTTTTTGGACATTTATGTATTCAATCTACACTTTAAATAAAAACGAATCAGCGTTACAAACTATCTTTTGTATCCTAAACTCTAAAACTTAATCAAAATGTTAACCTTGCTACAACAGCCTTTTTTTCTCCCGAATCCGAACAGTACCCTCAATAGCGGACATCTCGGATGTTCGGTTTAGAGGAGCTGTAATGTACTTAACATCAGGATGAGACAATTGAGGTTTCTATAACATATAATGAGGAAAATCTGATCCTCACGGGACAGATTGAGGGCAAGAGAAAGACTACGTATTATGATATACTTGATGAGCTTGAGTATGGATGGCTGAACAGGGCTTATGAGAAATAGCTGGAGGACTGGGTTTATTAAGATCTATAAGGGGCAGGGAGTCGTGGAGAGCCATGATCGGCAACGTCATGAAGGGACACGGCACATAAAGAAGAATATCTTATAAATAAAGGCTTATGGTTATATCACGCTGAGACACCAATTCTCGTACGATCACCGAAGTTAAGCAATGTCGAGTTTGGTCACTACCAAGATGGGTGACTGCTTGAGAATACCAGGTGATGTAAACTTGAATATGCGGGTGGTATAATGTGTCTTTACGGCCATATCCCGTTGAATACCGTTTCTCGTACCATCACCAAAGTTAAGCAACATCGAGCCTGGTCGCTACCTCGATGGGTGACCGCTTGGGAATACCAGATGCTGTAAGCTTGGATGTGCGTGTTATGTAATGGGTGCAGGCTCGGAATGAGTTCGAATACCTGTCGGGGTTGGTTATATTGACTTATGTGCAAATACATTTAGGAAAGGTACGCAGCCACCTCTTCTACTCCCAGCTATGGGTTAAATAATAAGAACTGTATGAGAAAGTCATTATTTTCTCCAAGATGTTCCTATTATCCAAAATAAGCTTCGAATACCCCCCCAAAAGCCGTGATAAAACAATCAATCTTATAAATAAGTATATTCTATTGTAAATCTCGCTTCTCGATTTGATGGATAGTTGATTGAAGACTACTCGTTTGCTACTTTGATCTAATTTCCTGCTACTATTGTGCATCTGAGGGCCATGTTATATTTGAATGACGTCAACTCGATTTATTGAACCAAAGTGAAACTGTTCTGCGTGTTATCATTGACATAAGTGACGCTCAAATAAACGGTTTTGCTTTTTTTAATTATTTTTAAAAAATTAATTAAAATTTAAATTTAAAAAAAAAGATATATTCACTAGACAGAAGTGGTTATTTTATAACTGCAATAAAATTGTATAGAATAGATATTGCATTCAAATTTCACACCAAACCGTCAAAGGAAGCCACGTGTCGGGCTGATCAGCGTCTACTCTCGGCCACCGAATGCAGAAGTAGATGACCTCACACCTGTACCTGGTATAGTAAACGTGAGAACAGATCGATATATAAATAACCGACCCAGAGATTATTGGGCGGTTTCCCACACACTGCAGACAGAATGTAAGGTCCACGCGTCGGACCAAGGCCGAGAGTAACTAACGATATATCCTCTCTATAGCTCAATGGAGGAAAGACTCCATAAAATAGCCAACCTCTGACGCATTGCTCTGTCTTTACAAGAATTAGATCAGACCAAGAATGGAGTGCTGCTGAGATATCTGGTCTGGAGCTGCACAGTCCTTACTGTAAAGCTCATGAAAGAGTTCAAAAGTGATTACGCCTCCTTTTGAGCGATGAATCATTTTGCAACCTGCAACCCTTCTCAGGCAGACGAAACGTTGCCAGCCTCTTGATCTACTGTCGTTATTTCCATGGCCGATGTTCAGACGAACATCATTCCGAAGATCAACCAGTTCAGACCTTCATATCTTGGGCCCGAGGTACACATACATGGCATGAATTCATTCTCAATCTATTCATGTTGTTTTGGTAAGGAGAAATTTCCACTCAGACAGTTTTCAGACAGAACTGTTGCTTTGTGGGACAGACTCCCGAGAGAATGGTTTCTTGCTTTCTTTAAGTCCAGGATTAACCAATATTTATCCAACATGTCCTCATAATATGCATGTCTTACTTCCACATTCCTCTTTCCTTACAACAATCTCTCTCAGTAACCATCTACTTTGAGTGGCCCTTGGGCCTTGTATTAAATGAACTAACACGTTACATTCATCCACAAACAATTTCATGAGTCGTCAATGAGACGTCGTTAACCTATTTTATTTTTTGATACTATTGTTCACCAAATACAAGGCCAAAGAGCCACCCAATGTAGAGTTATAACAACTCTTTCTATCTGAAAGGTGAATGTCTGGAAGCGGGTGAGGACTAGTCAGGAAGGACAGGTTTCCAGCTGGGCCCTTAGGTGTTTGCTGAAAACGTCTGCCCTTCCTCATTGCCGTAGACTTCATTGAAGAGTATGGGGTCACAGCTCTCAGAAACACTAGACGTTGCTGTTGTAGTTTCTATAGCAACTAAATTTTACGGGATGAAATTTGCTAGCCTCATGCGCAACCGATTTTCTACACTGTTTTTAGCTTACATTACCCAGAGTTCCCAGTCGGTTTAAGTACTGACCGGGCTCGACACTAATTATCTTCAGTGATCAAATGAAAACCTACATTTCAGCGGCGGGAAAGCACTAGAACTCGTTCACCAGCTTTATTTTTGAAAACAACTTTCCAGAAAGAAAATAAGGCCAACAAAATGTTTGCATTTAAGATTTTTTTAAACGTCTCTAAGTTCATCCTTGTTTATCAATATTTAATGTTTTCTCCTCTTTTTATTTGACAAAAAAGAACAACTCATCTTTTTGTTCATTCATGTGGGAACTTTATTGTGATTTCTAAACTTGACCCACCCAATTCTCGTGTTCAGCCATGATCCTAATCTTAACTATAAAATGGCCGCTTTAAGAGAACACAATCACTGAACTGTGTATTATACTTTTAGATATTATTTATTTATTTTTATCTGGGCATCTCAACCAGGAAAAAGAAGCCTTCAACGGTTAAAGAACATTTTTTTTTAAATACTGAAACTCGTTTTAAAAACATTCAGTAAATCACTTTTCGTTTACATCCAATCGCTTTAAAAATATTTAGATGATAATCACCCCTTTAAAAAATATTTCAAATGCACAGAACAATTATAGGGTGCAGCGAAAGTAACATCCTTTTTATTTACTAAATTTTATTGAGCAAAAATAAGTTACAGTAATATATGAAAGTTTATAAGTATCGTCACATGAAAAGAACATGATTTGTTACGGTGATTTTCTAAGCGTATCTTAGATTTGGTATACAGTGTAACCCGGATATAAGAGACCCGGATATAAGAGAAACCCGGATATAAGGGAGATTTTCTCTGGTCCCAAAGTGTTCCCATACTTACCTAAACATAATAGACCAAACCCGGATATAAGAGAAACCCGGATATAAGAGACTTCTTCTCCGGTCCCGACAACTCTCTTATATCCGGGTTACACTGTATATATATAATCAGTGGACACTCGTATCTGCGTACGCCTACCTACAAGGGTGGCCAGTCAATCCCTGTTGTAGACGCCTTCACATGCACATTTGTGTTTGGTCAACACCACAGAATCCACCTGTGATTTATACTGCAACTATGATGAGCAGACCTTAGTAACAGTTTCTAAGAGTGAGCGTCTTATTTGGCGAGTCAACAGTCTGAACAAAGCCAGTTCGGTCAAAACCCCGGTCACGATGAATTGTGTCTTCGTGCTAGATTATATATATATATATATATATATATATATATAGGATGTGTACGGTATTTAAGGACACATTGAAGAAAGACAACCAGAAAACAGGCCGTACGTTTATCAGCAGGATTCTGCACCTGCTCACAAAGTTTTGGTGACCCAAGATTGGGTGGCGGACAATTTGAACGCCCAAATCACAGCAAGAATCTGGCAACCTAACTCTCTAGACTTAAATCCTCTTGACTATTACTTGGGCCGAGTGGGAGGTTAATCAACGTGCCCACAATATGACAGATTCCCTGAAAGCCGCCATTACATGAGTAATGTCCAGAAGGAATAAAAGCCATGTGATGCCTGCATGTTAAAAATTAATCATTGAAGCCATCATTGTAATCAAAGGCAGTTACATAAAATAAAAATGTAATCCAACCATTACTGTTTCTGTGCAGCAAGATTTGCATCAGTAAATTTAGTTGTTTCTAAGATGTAGTTATTTTACTTATGGCATTAAGTGTGTCTTCAAAGGCCTTTCGTACCCTGTATATATAGATATAATTTTCCTGACTTTTCGGTTAACCTAAAGAATATTTATAAACGTTCTTAAATTTAAAAATTTTGCAGAACCAATAACATTTTTGCTCTTGTATATAAATACTTGTTACAAATTAAAACCGTTGCATTTGCCTTGATGAAGTCCCTGTGAGATGGAAATGCATCGGCTAAGATAAGTTTTCCTTTTGTTATATATATATATATATATATATATATATATATATATATATATATATATATATGTAATAAGTAAAACTGTTACTTAGCTGATTGATGATACCTTTAGCCTCCCTAGTCCAGAGTTTCGCTGGTGTACCAGTCCGTCCCTCTTCAAAGATTTATTAGCAATTGACTCCTTACATTTCTCCATATATATATATATATATATATATATATATATATATATATATATATATATATATATATACTAGTAATCTTACGAATATAAGCATCTATACTCGTCCGGCAAAACCTTAGGTGTTTTAGCTTATGAATGAACAAACCAATACCCAAGTGAAATAAAAAAAAGGGTAAAAAAAAAAGAAAGAACTAAGAACATGGACTTCCGGCCAAAATAATCGTCTAGAATCTAAGTTCAGAGTCCAAAGATAAAAACCTTCGACACTAGTAAAGTAAAAATAACTAAGCAAAGTGCTCAATATGCTAAGTAGAGCAATCTAATAAACCTAAAAAGAGACAGACAAACCTACCTAGCTTTCACCTACGCGAATTGTGAAATGTAGGTTTGGTTTGTATATTATATATATATATATATATATATATATATATATATATATATATATATATATATATATATATATATATATCTCAGGTTGAGGAATCGGAGAGCTGAGTTCGAATTCCAGTCGGATCTATTACATTCATTTATGTGCTAATACCCTTGGCCAGATTCTTGGATGGCAACTGGTCTACCGCAGAACGAAATGTTAACCTACTGCGGGGAAAAATCTGCCTCGTCAGTCATGTATTGAAAGATACCTGATCGCCTAAGCGTATGACGCATAACATAACTGATATATATATATATATATAAATATATATATATAATGGCTCAACCATATGTTCTATTTGTCTATAAGTTTTCAAAACATCTGTAGGCCTCGGGAGACACATGTGTGTCGAAAGAATTTGAACGCCTCTTTAGTTTACTATATTCTCATTTGTCGTCCATGACTAGAGAGTCTACAATATTTCTACATTTCATTAAGAAGAATTGATGAAGTGGGTATGGAAATAACAAATCTTTCACTTCCTTCTTGTGTTAAGAGAATGACGTTCTAAAAAGAAATCGTCTATGTTCAAGTCGACATTGGAAGAGGAAAATTAAATTTACGATTGAAGGGAGTGTTTGAAAATGGAGACCGCTCAATCACTGGATTGCGTCATCGATTGATTTTGAAGGTGCGGTTATAAAAGGCATTATTTTAGCGGGGAAAGGCTAATTGTCGTCTGGCTTACTCTTAAAGCAAAAAGCTACCGGTTGATTTCCAGAAAGTTTGGAAGCAAACGCATTCTTTTATACTTTCATTGATGCTAGAATTTTCCAGTGATAATTATTTCTCTCATCTTGTTAATGAACGAAACAAGTAATGCTATGCAGCTAAAGTTAAAACATTTTATCTTTTCATACAAGAGAAAAATACATTTTAATATTCTGATACAAATACGTTGGTAAATACTTATGTGAGCCATCCTAGATATGACGATAAACTACATCTATCTCCTGGGTAAGACGATAAACTACGTCCAACAGCAAGGCCTCTGAACAGGAAGTTTTGATGAGCATGGAACCACCTCTTAATTGCTGGTGTTCCCAGGTCCACCCTGACCCGGGGTGGTAGCACATGTTAAGGTCCCAACTATGGGCAAATAGTTAACTCCGAAACTGAGGTAAAAAGCATAATAAAAGTGTAAAAATAGGTTTTAATTCCCGAAATACTTTGTAAAAAATTATTACTGGAAATAAATTTTTAAGGAAAAAACTATTACCAGCAATATATTTTTTGAAAAAAACTATTACCAGCAATACGTTTTTGAAAAAAAAATATTATCATCAATATATGTTTTAAAATAATATTACCAGCTATACATTTTTGAGGAAAAAAATAGATTTTTGACAAAACAAAATAATACCAGTAAAAAAAAAAGTTGTCGGCATTAAATAACCCATTGAGGATGATATGCCGTAAACAAAACAAAGAAAACCAAGTGAGTAATTTAAAAAACCTTTTTATGAAAATAAAATCATCCAAGATTGTAAATTTCCTAAAAGTACAGTGTAACCCGGATGTAAGAGAGTTGTCGGGACCGGAGAAGTCTATTATATCCGGGTTTCTCTTATATCCGGGTTTGGTCTATTTTATATACATTAACATAGGCTCTAATTTGGGACCAGAGAAAATCTCTCTTATATCCGGGTCTCTTATATCCGGGTTACACTGTAGTTGGATTGTACTCAAAAATATGAGTAATTGAAAAATGGTTCAAATATATATGTATATATACACACCTTTTTTTTACCAAACTATCGCTATGAATCTATTTCAAAATTTTATTGGCCTTAAATGACCCACTGAGTTTGATATGCCATAAAACAAAACAACCAACCAAGCTATGTGAGTATGTAGTGTAGACAGGTCCCATGTGCAGGTCTCGAGGTCACCACCGAATCAATGATACAGAACCCTGATTATGCTCCCCCCCCCCACTTGACTACATCTCAATTTTCATTTGGTTGTATTCATATAAAATACAAATTTTATTGTAACCTAACTATGTACAATAATGTCATCATATGCAATATAGATGAACAATTCAACTAGACAAATTGAAAATAAATGTATCTAAATACAAATTAGAAACATGTCATAATAGATGATTCCATGTTAAATAAATCCTGAAGGTTTTGTGGCAATTTTTAACATCAACTTGAGATTTTTCTTGGTAAAAAGTTCAAGAAATTTTAACACATTCAAAATTATGAATAAAAAAAATAATGAATTTTATATAGCGTTTTTTTTTTCTCGACTTAACATGAGCAAAACAAATTCACAGATTTGAACGAAAAACAAAAAAAAAGACCCAGAATGAAGTCAAAATCCACGAAAATTTGTCACCCTTCACTCGTCAGTTGTGTTTAGTTTAATTTGTAACATAAAAATGTAGGGGAAAAAAGCAAATAAAGATAAGATAGCTAGTGTCACAAAGAACTGCTGCTTTCTTTCTTTCTTTCTTTCTTTCTTTCTTTCTTTCTTTCTTTCTTTTCTTTTCTTTCTTTTTACGTCCTTCCCCTCGCACCACCTCTCATCTTCTTTATCCTTTTCCTTTTTTTTCTTTCTTTTCTTTCTTTCTTTCTTTCTTTCTTTTTACTTCCTTCTTTCGCACCACCTCTCATCTTCTTTATCCTTTTTCCTTTTTTTCTTTTTTCTTTCTTTTTTCTTTCTTTTTTCTTTCTTTTTTTTCCTTTTCTTTCTTTCTTTCTTTTCTTTCTTCTTCCTTTCTTTCTTTCTTTCTTTCTTTCTTTCTTTTTTCTTTTTACGTCCTTCCCCTCGCACCACCTCTCATCTTCTTTATCCTTTTTCCTTTTCTTTCTTTTCTTTCCCCTTTCTTTCTTTCTTTCTTTCTTTTTTTACGTCCCCCCCTGCACCACCTCTCATCTTCTTTATCCTTTTTCCTTTTCTTTCTTTCTTTCTTTCTTTCTTTCTTTCTTTCTTTTTCTTTCTTTCTTTTTTCTTTCTTTCTTTCTTTTTTCTTTTTTTTACGTCCTTCCCCTCGCACCACCTCTCATCTTCTTTTTTATCCTTTTTCCTTTTCTTTTTTCTTTCTTTCTTTCTTTCTTTCTTTCTTTCTTTCTTTTCTTTTCTTTTTCTTTCTTTCTTTCTTTCTTTTTTACGTCCTTCCCCTGCACCACCTCTCATCTTCTTTATCCTTTTTCCTTTTCTTTCTTTCTTTCTTTTCTTTCTTTCTTTTTTCTTTCTTTCTTTTCTTTCTTTCTTTTCTTTCTTTTTCTTTTTTACGTCCTTTCCCCTCGCAATTCACCTCTCATCTTCTTTATCCTTTTTTCTTTTTTTTTCTTTTCTTTTCTTTCTTTCTTTCTTTCTTTCTTTCTTTCTTTCTTTCTTTTCTTTCTTTCTTTCTTTTTTTTTTTACGTCCTTCCCCTCGCACCACCTCTCATCTTCTTTATCCTTTTCCTTTTCTTTCTTTCTTTCTTTCTTTCTTTCTTTCTTTTCTTTCTTTCTTTCTTTTCTTTTCTTTCTTTCTTTTTACGTCCTTCCCTCTTTTTTCCCTCTCATCTTCTTTATCCTTTTTTTCCTTTTCTTTCTTTTTTTCTTTCTTTTCTTTCTTTTCTTTTCTTTCTTTTTTACGTCCTTCCTTTCTTTTTTTTTTCCCCCTCATCTTCTTTATCCTTTTTCCTTTTCTTTTCTTTCTTTTTTCTTTCTTTCTTTCTTTCTTTCTTTCTTTCTTTCTTTCTTTCTTTCTTTCTTTTTTCTTTTTTTTTTACGTCCTTCCCCTCGCACCACCTCTCATCTTCTTTATCCTTTTCCTTTTCTTTCTTTCTTTCTTTCTTTTCTTTCTTTCTTTTCTTTTCTTTCTTTCTTTTTTTTTCTTTCTTTCTTTTTTTTTTTACGTCCTTCCCCTCGCACCACCTCTCATCTTCTTTTCTTTTTTCCTTTTCCTTTCTTTCTTTCTTTCTTTTTTTTTTTTTTTACGTTCCTTCCCTCGCACCACCTCTCATCTTCTTTTATCCTTTTTCCTTTCTTTTCTTTCTTTCTTTTTTCTTTTCTTTCTTTTCTTTCTTTTCTTTCTTTCTTTCTTCTTTCTTTTCTTTCTTTCTTTCTTTCTTTCTTTTTACGTCCTTCCCCGCACCACCTCTCATCTTCTTTTATCCTTTTCCTTTCTTTTCTTTCTTTCTTTTTCTTTCTTTCTTTCTTTCTTTCTTTCTTTCTTTTCTTTTTTTTTTTTTTACGTCCTTCCCCTCGCACCACCTCTCATCTTCTTTATCCTTTTTTTTTCTTTCTTTCTTTCTTTCTTTTTTCTTTCTTTCTTTTCTTTTCTTTCTTTCTTTCTTTCTTTTTTCTTTCTTTCTTTTTTACGTTTTTCTTTTCTTTCTTTCAACCTCTTTCTTCTTTTATCTTTTTTTTTTTCTTTCTTTCTTTTTTCTTTCTTTTTCTTTCTTTTCCTTTTTTTTCTTTTCTTTCTTTTTTTCTTTTTTTTTTTTTTTCTTTCTTTTTACGTCCTTCCCTTTTTTCCACCTCTCATCTTCTTTATCCTTTTTTTTTTTTCTTTCTTTCTTTCTTTCTTTTTACGTCCTTCCCCTCGCACCACCTCTCATCTTCTTTATCCTTTTTCCTTTTCTTTCTTTCTTTCTTTCTTTTTCTTTCTTTTTTTTCTTTCTTTCTTTTTTCTTTCTTTTACGTCCTTCCCTCGCACCACCTCTCATCTTCTTTATCCTTTTTCTTTTTTTTTTTTCTTTCTTTCTTTCTTTTTACGTCCTTCCCCTCGCACCACCTCTCATCTTCTTTTTATCTTTTTTTCTTTTTCTTTTTCTTTCTTTCTTTCTTTTCTTTCTCATCTTCTTTTTTTTCTTTTTTCTTTTTTTTTCTTTTTACGTCTTTCTTTCGCACCACCTCTTTCTTTTCTTTTATCCTTTTTCCTTTTCTTTCTTTCTTTTTTCTTTTTACGTCCTTCCCCTCGCACCACCTCTCATCTTCTTTATCCTTTTTCCTTTTCTTTCTTTCTTTCTTTCTTTCTTTCTTTCTTTCTTTCTTTCTTTTTACGTCCTTCCCCTCGCACCACCTCTCATCTTCTTTATCCTTTTTCCTTTTCTTTCTTTCTTTCTTTCTTTTACGTCCTTCCCCTCGCACCACCTCTCATCTTCTTTATCCTTTTTCCTTTTCTTTCTTTCTTTCTTTCTTTCTTTCTTTCTTTCTTTCTTTCTTTCTTTCTTTCTTTCTTTTTACGTCCTTCCCCTCGCACCACCTCTCATCTTCTTTATCCTTTTTCCTTTTCTTTCTTTCTTTCTTTCTTTCTTTCTTTCTTTCTTTTCTTTTTCTTTCTTTTCTTTTTTACGTCCTTCCCTCGCACCACCCTCTCATCTTCTTTATCCTTTTTCCTTTTCTTTTTCTTTCTTTCTTTCTTTCTTTTACGTCCTTCCCCTCGCACCTCTCATCTTCTTTAT